CCAGGTGGCTTATGGACGTCGAAAAGCAGCGGTAGTTTTGGGGGCTTTTTTTTTTCCTGCAGTCATGTTTGCCGTGCGCATAGTCACCGCGGACTACTACCTGGCCAGTCCCGTTAAAGACCTGGACGTCGGCCACTCGGAATTCAGAGACAGCGAGGTGAAGAAGGTTCCGGTGGTGCGGATATTTGGAGCAACACCAGGAGGTCGGTGAGCTGTGTGTGTCTGTGTGTGTGTCTCTGTCTGTGTGTGTGTGTCTCTGTGTGTGTCTCTGTGTCTCTGTGTCTCTGTGTCTCTCTGTCTCTGTGTGTCTGTGTGTGTGTGTGTGTGTGTGTCCGTGTGCCCGTATTGTCGGAGATAACGGTCCCCCACGAGCTCTCCGCGCACGCGGGCGTAGGGTTTCCCGGCTTTGGCCGCCTGTTGGACACACAAATCCCTCTAAACAAATGCTCTCGCGCCGCATTGTTTAGAGGAAAATTGGCTGTTTGTTGTGGGTGTCGGCACGTTGTTCTGTTCCAGCCTCTCTGCAGAGGTGGGGGGGCCCTGCTCCCCACCCCCCCCGGCCCCCCTCACCACCACCCCTCTCTCCGCTTTGTTTTCGCCCTCCGCTACTCGACGGTGTGGAGGTGGAGGTGGAGGGGCTCGCGCCACATGACCGGTGTTTGTAACCTGTAGCGCGCGGACAGCGGGTGGCCGTCCTCGCGAGGGCCGCTGCCTCCACTGGGTCTGACCCCCCGGTGTGTGGTGTCCTCTGTTTGGGGGCTGAAAGTTGGAACAATAGTCGTCCTGGGTCTCCAAATCCACCGTTTTGACGCCAAACGTGGCGTCGTAAAGGACCCTCGTTTGGACAAAGGGGACCCCGGGATGTAGACGGTTCTCTCCGGAGCGTTGACACATGTTGAGCCCTGAGCTCTGGAGCCTCAGTCCCCAGCAGCAGAGGACAGGGATGCCCTCATAGGCTTTAGCTAAGCTGTTTGACTCCAGTGTCAAGGGAATGTGGTGTGACAGTGACCAGATATGAGGGAAAAGAGAAGAAAAACTCAAATTCCAGTTTCCAACTCCAGGCCTCTCCTGTGGGGGTTCCAGAGCAGAGGGGAATGGAGAGGGGACCTCCATTCCACTTAGCACCAGATTGGGGAAAAAAAAGGATGTAATATGTGTTAGTTTAAGCAAAACTCAGTGATCTCTGTCTCTGTAAACAATCACCACCCACTTTTATATCATCTCATCTGGGCTGTTGTCGTGAGGTCGTCTTGATAGGTGGGGGACATTTCTTAACGAAAGAATCCAAGTCAACCACACCTTTGCATTTGTTGCCATGTAAGACAGAGCTGTCTGCTCTTTTCTGAGGAGAATGAGGGGTTTTGTTGCTTTAAGTTAAAAGAAGGCACTGGGTTTTGTACCCTCCAGATTCATACAGTTTGATTCTTCTCTTTTTCAGTGTGTGCATCACTTGCATGACATTTTTTCTACAAATAAAAGAGCATTTCCCTGTCTGAAAAGCATGGAGGCAGAGAGGGATCCCTCTCTAGTCTGGTCGGAGCTATTTGCTGTTCAGTATTTCACTCTGCTTTCGGGGGGGGTGTTGTTGGCTGGTGTGGAGGGAGGGGTACCTGAGCCGTTGGGGTTAATGCGTGTGAGTATTTAGCCCGGTGGAAGCCATCCACGGCGCGCGCACCATGTGGCTCTGGCTCCAACCCCAGGCTTAATTCTCTCTGTCCTTTCCTGACCCGGGATAGTGAACACTCCCACCCACCAGCCCCGTGTAATCTGACGCCATATTTCAGGCCTTTTTTCTTTTCCCTTCCCTCTTTGGAGGCAGTCAGCGTCTGGGCAACTTAGTTTGAAGCCACACTCGCTACAAAAACATGATCTCAGAACAGCCGAGGAAGAGGAGAAGAAAAACAAACCCCTTTCTTACGAAAAAACCTATTCATTTTCAGTTATTTTCCTGTGCTTGTTCATATGACTTCTGGTTTTCCTGCCCGTCTCTTTGGGCTGAGTCTGTCTTTGGTGGTGCTGAAGACCCGGGTTAGGGTTGGGGGGGTGAAAGCACGTGATGCTAACGGCCCGGTGCCCTTTGACCTGAGGCATGGAGAGGCGTGCTGTTTTGGCTTTTCGCACATATTCCTGCTCACGAGAGAAACTGCACGACCAGCTGAGCTTCTGCTGTTGAGGAATTCCTCCTGGAAGCATTTACACCACCGTGAGCTGCCTCCAAGAGACTCTGAGGCTATTTAGCCTGTTCACTTTCTTCTTCTTCTCTTGCTGGTGACTCAGGTACAATAACCACCTCATTTTCTGCTGTACCTGCTGCTCCACCTCTCCATAAATACTTCGATAAACTGATATGGATATTTGTTTACTGATCTTGTTTTTCTGTGTTTTGCTTTAACACTCGCCATTATTTTCCACTTGTGTTTTTTTTCCTCTCGTTTCTGTTGCCATCTAAATTCTTTCTGGTGTGTGCTATCTGGTTTCAGAGAGGCTTGTCCAGACACAGTCGGGGCACCCGGGCGGTGGAGCCCCCCCCCCCTCCTGCTCACACCAGCCTGTAGAAATCGAGTATAAATATGGGAGGAGGCTTTAAGCACATTCCACTTAGCGCCAGATGGGGAAAAAAGGATGTAATCTGTGTTAGTTTAAGCAAGACTCAGTGATCTCTGTCTCTGTAAACAATCACCACCCACTTTTATATCATCTCCACCAACAAATCCACTTCCTGAGTTACTTCACAACCCAAAAATGTTTCCATTTTGTTTCCGTCTTGTGTTGTCCCGCCTGTCCCCCCAGTTCAGGCATTGGTTCGATGGGACTGATGGTAGGAGGCTCATCCAGAGCTGGTGGTTAGGGTTATGATTCTGCCCCTAACCTTCTCTCTCAACACTCATTTTGGTTAAAAATCCTGTAAAGACAACTAGCCTATAGCTGGACAGCAGGCATTCGTGGGGAGATTCTTTCTAAGGTCACGTTTGAGCAGGTCTGGAAAGGTTTCCTTTCCCCGTGATTGGCTCCTGTGTGGCGTGCAGAGAAAGCTCTATTTGGCACACGGTGTGGGGTCATTTCAGGTCCTCTGCTCGCTGACCGGCTCTTCCTGTGGCCTTTGTCCTCCCAGAGCCTGGAGGAGGAGAGCGGCCTGAGTCTGTGAGAGTCGGGAGACTCCCCGCGGACCGCTGCTCCCGCCGTGGGGGAATTCTTCAGCGCTTCATGGCTGATTAAGACCGTGTTGAAAGCGAGAGTTTTGGCAGGCCGGGAGCGGTTACGTCACCTCTGGCGTGTGGGCGCTCTAAAAACCGCCAGCCTTAGCCACTCGGCACGGACGTTAATGTCTGAGCAGCTGGTGGAAGCATGTCCACTCACCCAAAAAGTCAAAGATGGCAATCGGGCTTGTTTTTGGGGGCCTGCAAACACTTAAGATGAGTGTGTTTACAGACAAGCAAGAATAGCTGAGCACATTGTTTTCCACACAATCTTAGTTTTTGGATGGTGTCCTTTCACTTTGACCCTCCTGATGATGTTCCAACATGGCCTCGACGCAGAGCCATCACCCCTATGGCCAGACCTGGAGGATTTGGGCAGGGAAAATGGCCTGGCGGGTGTTTAGCTCCCTGGGTTGAGCATGTACGGATGCTCTGGACTGGTTTAATTCCAGGTTTTGGCCCTCCTCTCTCCGCCCCTTTCTCTTTCCTTTATCGCTTTCAGATAAAGGCCAGCAGAACCAATACAACCTTACACAAAAGCGGATGGACTGACAGAGGCTGAAGTAGCCCTAGTAGTGATTGGATGACCGGCTGATGACCGTCTGGACTAGAAAAGCAGCCCGTCACACACTGGAAACAGAAGAAAGCTCTGTCTTTATTCCCGATTTTACACAGCTTTACAGATGGAAACCATGCATGGATCTCACTTTCTTTACATTTCCTATATATTTTCTTGTCCCTTTGAATTGTTAACCAGAAACTCTTCTGTATTCTCAGTTTGAGCTGAGCTAAATATGACAAAACCAGTGCTTTTTTTCTTGTCACAAGAGCCGTGCTGGGACAGATAACGCAGTGTGACAATGATTACATCTCCCTGATTATATTTCTTCAGCATTAATGAGCAGTCACAGTTAATTGCTTAGCCCCACTGGACCAAACGGTTAACTCCTCTGTTCAGTCTGCTGCCTGTGGCTGCTGACTGGAATCTGACTGGAATCTGCTCCCATCAGCACCAGTAAGCAGGACGGTCAGAAGCTGGTCTGGTCTGGTCCGGTTCTGGTATGAGGACTGAAACCGTTAGAGCAAATTTATATCATAATGATGAAAAAACGGGCGGGACATTGCTGCTGATTTCCTGATTGGGTTGGCTGTATTTAGGTCGTATTTAAACCAAATCCAGTTTCTTTTCGAATTTGAAAGCGGTTCGTGCACAAAAATGCATTTGGTCTTGTGCAATATTTAGAACTATTTTCTTCTTTTTCTCCCTCTCTCTCTGTTGGCACCTTATTCATTCAAACTGTTCCATTCATCTGTCGGGTTTGGTTTCACCTCGCAAACAGCAGAGCATCAATCTTGTCGCTCAGTGGCTGCTCATTCGAAACCAGCCAAGGAATATTTGCGCAACAGAATTAAGATAAAACTAAAATTAAAGATAAAAGAAGGGATGGTAGGTAGTGATCAGGATCTGATGTTTTAAATGTAAAAAAATGCAGTCTTCCACTCTAAATCATCCCCACAGATAAGAAGTGAGCTATTTATGATGGATGGAAACGTGTGATAATGCTGCCAAAGGTAAAGGCTCCTGTTAACTGCTTTGTAAGTTGTGTAGATACAGCCACATTGGAAATTTAAAAAATCAAACATAATTTCTTGGGCTTTTACCTGACATCATTTTGGTCCTTTAGCAGACTCCACCTCCTGGGTTGTCATCTTTAGCCCACTTAAACTTTGGTTCTTCCTTGTAACTCGCTGCAACCCAATTTGTCCTCTTTGGCTCGCTGTAACTTGTTTTCTTCTCTTTAGGCGTTACTGATGGTTTATGCTGAACGCTTTTCCGGTTGAAAATCTGATTTCCTTCATCTGGACTGAACACTGAGCCCTTTCTTTTAGTCTCTGCTGACCTCATGCTGATAGGGTTCATGTTTTCTGCTCAACACTACCACAGCTTCTTAATCAGATACACTCCAACGGCACACCGTTAAACACAAATTAAGAATTCTCTGTGCTCATGCCTCTAAATCGGTCAGAAGAATCTTTGCATGATCAAAGCACTATCTTACTGTAAAATCCAGCAGTGTCCTGGTCAGGTGAACATCTCTAGCTTTCTGTATTCTGTTTTAGGATCAGGCATATGTGTCATAATTTCTCATGGGTTCTCTACGCAGATGACACCCAGGTCTATAATTCGGTCTCCACGTGAATCTCAGACTGTTTTAGTGACGTATCCACACGTATAAATAAGCCCCGCCTCCAGTTCAGGTTCATCAAACCAGCAGGACCAGTTGACATCCCCCTCTATCTGTTGTTGCTGCCGAGGTCCCAGGAACTGGTCATGACTGATGGCCAGCTGCCCCTCTCTGACCAGTGGAACCTCTGTGGAACCGCTTCGCCGCTTTGCGTCATTCGACTTAAAAAGATGAGGCTTTTCCTGACCAGCACACAGATCGTGGTGCAGCTCATCTCCAAGGGACACGGTGGGAGGACTCCCCCAGAAGGAGGGCAGACCCCGGTCTGTTATCCTCCCCGGTCCCTGGTTGATGGGACGAACCACTGGCTGCTATCGGTACCTCTAAGAAGCTCTCAAAACTTTTCTTTTTCACGAATACTTCCTTCTGTCACCTCCTGTTTCTTCTTGTTCCTGCTCTACTTCATAAACGGCACTTAATCAACCTGAATGTCTTTTTTCCTCCTCTTGATATTAAAATGGTTAGTTTTTCTAATGGTGGATGGATGAACGGACATATTCGATACTTTTAGCTGTTGACGGGGGCCCTCTCTCCTCCTTGCTTGTGTCTTCTGTTGCTTTTCTGCACACTCTCCTTTCCCTGTCCTGCTGCCTTCAGCCTGTGCTTGCCCTACATGGCCATTTATGCCTGTTTTCAGCCTTTTGAAGTGAAAGAATTACTTTTTAAAGTAAAATGCAGAATGAGGGAACAATAAAATGCTCATCTATGGTGCCTGCTGTTCTGATGTTATTTGATAAAAAGAATAATTCATAGTTAATGTGATTTTTATTGCAAATAATGGTGCGGTTAGAGTGCCGTAAACTTGGGTACGACGTCTTTCCAGAAGTGTGTGATGAAAATGGACGCTCAGTGTTTCATGGCTGATCAGTCGTCCCATATCTGTCGCTGCTTTCAAATGAATCATTTTCACCCCCAGTAGGCTTCTACAGACCACATGCTGGGGCTTTATTGTGCTGAGGGCCTTTGCAGCCTTCGACCAGGTGGAGGTAACGTGCTCAAAGGCACTTATTTCTTCAGCAGTGGTCGGTGCTTCCTGTGTTTTGGAGTGTGTGGCAGCGACACAAAGAGCTCCAGACTTCCAAGTGACTCCCTCACAAGAGTCCCTCCTCTTAGCCACGCCACACAGACTAAATAACTCCACTCACAAAAGCTGGAGTTGATCTTCTGTGAACCTTAGATTTGCACACAGAGTGAAGTCATTCCCTCTTCAGCGTCTTGCCCGGGTTTTGAACCAGTATCATCATCATCTTGCTGTTTTGCTTCTTTAGCCAGAAATGGCAACCCCACGGGTTAAGTCTCCCTCAGTGTACACAAACTGATTGAAGTGATCCCACTTGTCATATTCCTCTCACAATTTCCTTACCCTCCTCCGTTCAGCTGTGTGTATGTGTGTGTGTGTGTGTGTGTGTGTTTGAGTGTGTGCTGACTTCATTTGACTGAGACGGTAACCTCTGTTTTTACAGGCCAAGCATGCAGACTATTGATTATACCATCAAATGTCCTAATCCTTTTGTTTGATGTGACATATCTGTTTTCCTTTAGTGAATTTTGGCATCGATGAGAAAAGCAGGTGTCACAGGTAGATGCACAAATGGATGGAAAGAGAGTCTAATTTTCTTTCAAATTTTTTGGGGACTTACAGATATGGCTTTAGCTTTTAGAAGCCCCTTCGCCTTCAATTATTTCACAATTTCTTCCCATTCTTTGCCCATAACCCTGGCAATACGGCTGGTCACCGTCCCTGTAGCCAGCGTCCTTATCTCCGCTCATATTCTGATGTGCCATTGGCTTGTCCGCTCCAAGGGGATATGGCATAATGCTCTTCCCAAGCAGCCATCTGGTCGGCTCCACTGGACTTCGGACTGGTCCTGCTGAGCCATTTGTCCTGGGCCTGCGAGGTGTCTGGGGCGAGGGGAGCTTGGGAGGGCCGGTCACCACCTGCCGCCTGTTGTCCAGCAGCCTCCATCTTAGCGACCAAGACACTGGGAGGAACGGAAAGCAGCGAGCTGAGTTTTCTGTTGAGCTCTGGCAGGGGTTTGCCTCCGTTGCCCTATCGTGTTGCTTCACATTATCAAACCTAAGAAAGATCCAGCCGAACTGAACCCGACATGCTACCCAGCTCCCGGTGCAGTTTATGGCCATTGGTAATCTCTCCTAATTGGTCCTCCAGTGAAAGAATGTACAGCTAAACCTCATCAGATTGTCCTGAAGGTAGAAGCTCGTCTAGTCTTTAATCAGCCCAAAAAGTTCTTTGACCTCCACTGGCTACCCCAAATGAAATTCAAGTTACTGATGCTAGCCTACAAAGCGCTTAAGGGTACGATTCCCATTTACCAGAGTACTGTGGCAAAGGCTTAGGTAACAACTCGGCCACTCCGGTCATCAGAGGATTGTCTAGAAGTGTGAGACCACGCTTAAGACAATCCAGATGCTTTTCCTGTGGTGTTCCACAATGGTGGACTGGCATATCACGAACTAGTGGAGCTGGAGGTCTCTGTTTATAGTCAAGAAACTCCTGAAGACCAGCTCAGAGATCCCCACCCCTTCTCTACTTGTGTTTTGTACTTCTCTATCTCCACACTGTCTCCAGTTGAGACTCTTCCTCCGTTGGCTCTGGTTCAGAAGTGGCTTGACCCTCGGACCCGGACAGCCGGAGCCCATCTCCCGGCTTCTTTTAGAAGCTGTGACTCCCTCCTCATTCCACTCTTTCTTGATCTCTGCCTGATTTCTTGAATCTTCTCTGTTTGACGATCCGCCTAAGCCCCAAAAACCTGTGCAGGAGCTTTGAGTTTAGTAGATGATTAGCGTGTGAAACTCAGTTTAAAACATTCAAGCCCTGCTAAGTTTGGGTGTTTTCACAATATGAACATTTTCTTTATTCTTGTTTTCGTGGCTTTTACGAGCTGGAAGCCCAAATTATGTAACAAGAAACAAATGAATACCAGAAATCTTTAAATTGTGGCCCCTGAATTTATCTACATTTTTAATGGAACTATGGAAAATAAACAACTTTTCCATGATATTCTAGTTATTTGGAAAAGTTCTATGCATATATAAATGTGTGACATACACACAACTCCACATGCTGCCTGTTTTTTTAATACCTGTGTTGTCACATTCATGAGGGATGAAATATCTCTTGATGAATATGACAGTTTGTGGCCAGAGTGCTGCTTTTTTCCCCCAAGACACGAATTACTAATAAACAAGGACATAGGAAAAGGTAAAGCTATTTGCTTGTCAACCCCTCTGTGTCTCTCAGTTAGATAACTGGACTAGAGTCAGTCTTCACATTATTTTTAATGGCTAAACCTCACAGATTCTGGTAAGAGGAGACTCAGCCCCAGATCTTATCTCCAAATCACAACAAATCTAACCCCAAGGCACTTCAAAGGTATGCTCCAATCATTCGTAAATACATTTTATTCAAGTAAAACCGGAATTATTCAATGTGAAGTTGCCTTTCTAAGGAAAGGAATGGATTGAATCAAAACTTCTCTTTGATTCAGTCTCCGTTCACCAGGAGGAGCCCCGCTTCAGAACCAGAACCAGAACCAGAACCAGAACCGCTCTGTTCTCAGTGTTCACCAGGGGCTTTATGTCCTTCTGGACCTCGCTGGACTCCTCCATCTTCTCCTCTTCCCCTGACCTCATATTCCCCGAGAAAACACACACCTTCCCTGTCCATCTCACTTTGCTTCTGTCCTGCTGTTTAGGACTCGCACTCCTGCTCACTCTGCTTTTCAACCCGCCGAATGGAAGAAAAAAAAGAAAAAAAAAATTCTGCCTATTCCACTGTCTGTCAAGGGCTTTTGCTTTGCTACAGTTGTTGCCTAGCAACTAAAGCAGAAGCTGGCTGTGTTTTTGTGCGAGGGAGAGAGAAAGAGAGATGGAGAGAGACTCCATGTTGGCTTTGCAGGACCCAGGGTCTCTGCTCCCTCTCCCTCACACCCTGGAGCAAAGTTAGCGTGGAATCCGCCGAAGGTCTGCGGGAAAACTATTTTAAATGTGGTGGTCCAGGTGCCAGAGCACAGGAGTCTGAGCTTTTCCTGCACGATCCACTTTTTCCTTCAGAATAAGCTGCTCCTGACCAGAAATACTGTCTGCATCAATTCTGCTAGAGACGAGTGTATGTATCATGCAAACAATACAATCACATTAACCAGGCATTATGTATCAGTCCTTGAAACCCTGAAATGTGGAAAAGTAGTGGAATAATTTAAAGCAGAAAGGGAATCGATTCCTACTGACTCCAAAGCTGTTTTGGGATATGGGGGATTTGATCCCAACATGTTTATGTTTATGTTTCTGCATTTGGCAGACGCTTTTATCCAAAGCGACTTACAGAATAGACACAATATTACATTTCTCATCACTATGACAATAAGCTATATAGAGGAGAAACACTGATCAGAGTCAGTGGTGAGATGGAGATAGAGGTAGAGGGACTACAGAAGGAGCTGTGGGGGGGTAGAGGTACGGGTTAGGGTTAGGATAGGAGATGCTCTTTGAAGAGGTGGGTCTTCAAGAGTTTCTTGAAGACATGTTCTCTGTCCTTGAGCAAGAGGCTGAACCTTTTGTGCATCATCCTAATTTTCACTGTGTACAGACACCTCCAAGAACCAGAAACGGATTTTGAGCCGGTGGTTTTAATATGCGTCGTATTGTTGTGTTGCAGGCCAGAAGACATGCCTCCACCTCCACGGCGTGTTCCCGTACATCTACGTGCCGTACGACGGCCTGGGCCAGCAGCCGGAGCGCCACATGAGGCAGGTGGCCTTCAGCATCGACAGAGCCCTCAACGTTGCCATGGGCAACCCCACCTCCAGCAGCCAGCATGTCTTCAAGGTGGTGCTGGTCTCTGGCATGTAAGTGACCGTAACTTCTTTTTTTTTTTTTTTTTTACAAATGTATTGCCATCCAGAACTGGCAATATTACATATAAACATTTTACACTTTTTAAACCTGAGATTGTGACTGGGATTTCACCTCAATATTCATACATACAATCTCAAGTATTCTATTCACCAGTTTACAGGGAAGGGCTGGGGGACAAAAAAATAAGATAAAATAAATGAGAATTTAAAAGGAATTTGCACTTCAGTTCAGATAGGTCGCGATGGCTTTCCACAGTCTTTCAAAACTGCAGTCCGTCGTTCCATTGTATATACACGTTTAATCTTTTGGAATCAGGTTAATCATCTTCCTTGCTATCATTAGAAGAATTTGTAATATATATGTATGTCCTTTGGCCATAAGTAAGAGGAACACATCAAGCATAAAGATTACAGGATCAAAAGTAATGTTAACTTTTAGGATCCTCTTCAGCACATCTTTAACATTTTTCCAGAAGTTTTGTATCTGAGGACAATCCCCGAATATTTGGGTCTGATTGCCCACTTGACCACAACCCTACCAACGTTTATCACTAATACTGCTCTTTGACAAAAAGCTATTAAGTGGAGTTTGAAGAAATCTTATCTTGCACTTCCAAAGTGACCTTAACTTTGATGCTACTAACACTTAGCTCTAATTAGCTCTTAGAAGCAAAAGACAACCCCCTCAAAAAAAATGTAAATAAAAAAGCAGGAAACTTTTAAACATATTAAATGTAATAAACCTGTCGGTTTCTTTTCTCTTTCAGGCCTTTATATGGCTACCATGCCAAAGAGAAGCACTTCATGAAGATCTATCTTTACAATCCTCAGATGGTGAAAAGGTGAGAGCCTGCCTGTGATGCAGTAACTAGAGCAGGTATCATTAACCCCCCCCCTGTCTGCCGCTGAGTGTTTGATGCTGAGCGCATGACTCCCACCACCTCGCTAAATGGAAATCAATTGATTCATATTCAGTTACAAGCATTGATTTGGTGCGCGTGTGTTCTTTTACACGGGGCACTCGGGAAGAACTGTTTGCAAAAAGATCAGTTACTGTTGACAGGCGAGTGGAGACACTGAATTAGTTCCTGGCAGAGAGTGGCTGTCAAGAAGAAAGGAAGTAAGAGGTGGACTGGAGAGGCTGGAAATAGAGAGGAATAAGGAGTGTGTGTATGAGTGTACGTGTGCGTGTGCGATGGTGTCTGATAGGAGGGTCTTGTGTGTGGCAGGGTGTGTGAGTTGCTGCAAAGCGGAGCCGTGATGAACAAGTGCTACCAGCCCCACGAGGGCCACATCCCCTACCTGCTGCAGCTCTTCATCGACTACAACCTGTACGGCATGAACCTCCTGAACCTGGGGGCCGTCAAGTTCCGCCGGAGCCATGTCAAAGGTAAGGGGCCAGTCGAAGCCCACTGAAATGAACTCTGCCCTCATCTCACACTGACCAGTATCGCCTAGTTTGTCACTAATCACTGGTGTCTTTTGTCTCGTTTTTCTTTGTTTTTAAGAAACATTATAATGTAAAGCTAACACAAACGTGAGACTTCAGTTCCTAGAACATGATGTAGTGAGAGTCCCTCTGAATTTCAGGGTCTCATACATACAACAGAGGAGGTGATTTTAGGATTTGGCTTGAACTACAGAGCTTACGCTGTCCTTTTTAATGCTCTAAATTGCCTTTGATCCCTTTTTTATCCAACTTTATGCTTATTAGCACCTTTTTGCATCGTGCACTTGTTGTCTATGCAAGCAGAGCCTGTGTCTCTACTGTCTGCTTCATTCAGGCTCTGCAAGGCCAGAGGGCCTACCATGCCCTGGAACCTGTCCATGCAAAACTAAGACATCCTCACATCTGCTTCAGTATTGTTCTTTAGGTTCTCTTTACATTTGATCATAGTTTTTGGCTCATTTTGCCCTATTTGCCATCCTTTGCCTCTCTCCTAAATGTAAATAGGAAAGATCAATGTGTTGTTTTGGTAGTTTTAAGGATGCTTTTACCAGCAACAGGGCATTTTGAAACGGCCTCAGTACTCCACTTCCGTTTTCTCAAACTGTGGTTTAGTGTGGCCACCAGATTTCAAAAGAATCCTTGTTTATTCACCTCATACACTCGGCCATAACCAGTGACGAGTCTTATAATAAATGCCGTTTGTCTTGGAATATAGGAATATATGGAAATGGGAATTGTCTTTAGTTGACAGAAGAGGTGCGAGTGTTTGGACTTAAGATCTTGAGGCTCCCCGTTAGTTTGCCAGACAGGCTGTGACCTCAGCTTGTGGATGAGCCTGAGTCCTAACAACCATACCCCCCCTCCTCCTGACTGAGACCAAACCTCTTATTTCCACCCCTGTTTGATCACAGCTTAGTCTTGATTTTAGACCGGTTCATTTGCTCACCACTCCCCATCAGACCACTGTGCACACTCACCCAGCCAATCTCAATTTAATCAATCTAATTTGATTTCATTGAATATTCGTCGTGCTTGACTCTGCTTTAATAAAAGCAGGATTTACATGTTTGATCTACATCTTATCCCATTCACTCACTGACTACAAACACCCACCCCCAGAAAAAATCTGGAATAAATGGAAAAATAATAAGAGGCTGAGCCTTGTATAAAGGTAGAATTTAAGAAGACTGTAACCCTTAATGTCTTTTGAAGTCGGTTCCAACACGAACAATTAAATGTAAAACACTCATAAAGAAAAACAAAAACAATGATTTTATTCTTCAAATATCGCCATGAGACAAAATAAAACTGTTTTGTAACCAAATGACAACAACCAAAGATCCAATTGTTACTATCAGAAAGCATGTATGTAGAGTCCTCTTTATATTTTCAAAGTAATAAAGGTTTCATAATGATTACATCTAATAAAATGCATTATTTAAGCCTGTCTGATTTTAAACGACTAAAGACGACCGCTGTATCAGAGCTGTAGAAGAAACTCAGTTATCGAGTACGTTTGGAGAAGACGGTCACACAGTAAAACCATTTTGCTCAGTTCCGCTTCCATTTACCGCTTTTACCTGGATGTGATGAATCTGCCATAGTAGTGTGTTGGTGTAGGTAGGTCTTTTCAGCATCCGTGCCTTTCGTTTTTCTGTTTCTCTTATTGCAATTTTTTTAATTCACATTTGTGCTAATATCACAAATGTGATCATGTCAACAAAACGTATTAGTGACATCACTAGATAGTGAGCACCTGTCTAAAAGCACTCCCAGCCCCCAGAGGATGCAGCTTAACGACAAATTGTCAAGCCACATCACTTCTTGTGAGCTCTCACAACCGGAAAATCAAGAGAAATGACTTTTATGTTGTCTTGACGGATCCCTTTGGAGAAATGCCATTCACAGATGCTGCTTTGTGTGTGTGTGTGTGTGTGTGTGACTCTCACAGAGGAAACGACAGCAGGCCCAGACGGAGCACCTTCTAGCAATCAGCCCCGATTTAGTCCCTGTAAGAGTCCCTGTACCTCAAAGCTCAACAACAGCACCCTCGGGGGCACTTTTGTCCGCTGGGAGGAGGACACCCTACCCTGGTGAGTCGTAGCTGCACAAACACCACTACTTTACATCTTCATCAAAACAACTTGCCTGACAGACAGACCCCGCATTCAGATTCATTTTATTACTCAAATATTTGATTTCTGTATTTTTTTTCCAGCTCCTTAGTCCTGGATGAGGTGGAGAGACAGAGCACGTGCGAGCTGGAAGTGGACGCAGTAGCTGTAGACATCCTCAACCGTCTTGATATCGAAAGTAACTAAACTGAGAACACTGTCTTCAACTCTCCAGATCACTGTTTTATTAAGTACAGTTTTACATCTGTGGTGCAAAATCACAACAAATCAAAGATACCGTCAAATTCAAGCCAGTTCAAATGAATTCCTCCCAAAGGGGCTCAGGTCCTCAGATACAACTTCTAAATCTAGAAGCAGAAAATTCAGTCATCCAGGTCAAAGATAAGCCTGAGGTTTAGCCAAATGATCAGATACATATGTTTTAATGGCTAAATCTATGCAGTTGACATTTGTGCAATGATGTATGACAATTTTCCAGAAACAAAAGCCACTTTAAAGTTCAATTAAATGGTCCAAACACAGAACCCTGAAGAACTTCACAAGTCACTCTGAATAGGGGGGGAATTCTTCATTTACATGGACAAACTGGAATCTATCAGATAAATATGACTTAAACTATTCTATAAAAGTCTGTTTGACCCCAATAACATATTCTCTGTAGCATAATGCTATGATCAATTGTATCAAATGCAGCTCTGAGATCCAACCAGCACACACACAAATCCACTATCAGAGGCTAAGAGAAGATTGATTCTGCTGTGGTGTGAATCCTTACTGAAACATTTCAAACAGACCATTTCTTTGCAAATTACCATACATTTGAGCCGCATCTATTTTCTGAAGAGCTAGACGTAGGTGAATAAAAAACACTCCTGGTTCACAAATAAGTTTGATTTTTTATTTATTTATTCGTTTTTTGGTAAAGTTTTAATCACACTGACCTGAATTCCTGTGGTACTTCGTAGAGTTAATTAAGGGAAAAATTTCCTAGAAAAGTCTGGTTGGGATTAGTTCTGAGTTGATGATTTAAAAGAAGCTGTTGGTGTTATTTCAGAGATGGACTGAACAGAAACCGTCCGAATAGAAATCAGGCTCTAAAGATACTTTAAGTGATAGCTCAGTTAAATCGTGGGACGGATTTAAGGGCTCGTGGCTCAGCAGAAAAGAAAAAGAAACCAGGGACTGTTCTTATTCTCCTCTATCAGGGATGAACAATAGCACTTCTAGCTTTAATAAAGGCTCTGTATGTAATTAGAGTGTCTTCAAAGACTATTTGAGACTCTTAATTAGAAGAACACCATGTTCTTTGCAGCATTCCTGTCGAGTTCTTCTGAATTATTCACTTCTTTTTCTTTTGTTTTGTTTCTGTTGTGCACCTTGAAATTCACTCTGAATTGGAGTCAAGTTTAGCTGCCTGTCCTATCTTACATGGGCAGCAGAAGAGAAGCTGCAGAGAAGTCTGTAAAAACTAACCGTACCATGGTCTCAACCCTGGGTTGTCAACGGTTTTCCATGGCTAGCAAATGTTGCTGTATTTGTTGGAATGAGAGCTTGTCAATTTAAGGAGGATGGATGCTGTCTCTCCAAATGGAACCAGGCTTTTCCCAGAAATACTGCCGACTTTGAATGGAGCACACACCACCCGTACTGACACCTTGACAGTTTTTTCTTGTTTTTTTTTGTAAAGGCTCACATCACTGGTCAGATTTGACAATCTTTCCGTTTCTTGTGAAAGAGTACACACCGATGCAACATCAGCTTTTGTTATATATGATTTGCATACAATTGTTTCATGTGAATAACAATGTGTTTGCTACAGAGGCCTGGCCGGCTCATTTGAACTGTGTGCAGCCATGGTAGCCATGCTAAGCTAAAGCTAGCAGATACAACAGATACAGCTCAATTAGTTCAGACGGCTGACTGGGCTTTGATGCTTAGATTGCCTCTCTTTGAGAGCCTCTAATTCTCAAATCCATTAAGAGGCCCGGACAGGAAGACTAACAGAAAGAGGAAGAGATTAGTACAGATGAAGGAATTAACGACGATGAAAGGGAGGAAGGCCAGTAAGCAGAGGCTGGAGTCTGAGGAGGAACTCTCTTTGGGTTTCCATTTTTCTGTAGTCTCTCTTTATTTGGGTTTGATTTGTTTGATAAAATCAAACCTGAAAGCACAGAAAGAGATGTAATTTTGGTCGCATGCTCTCTAACTTAATAAACTGTATATACTCACATTTTACTGACTCCTTGGTACACAGTGTCACAGTGATCTATGTTATTGATCATGTGTAGTAGTTACATTACCAGGCCAAAGCCATTGTTGCTGGACATGTTGGATCACTTCGATCAAAGTGAGTCTCACACTGGATCCTAAAAAAAACTTCCAAAATAATCCAAGCCTGCCCTATTTGTTTATTAAAGGCTTTTACATTTGAAACTTGCACTCTGAAGGAAGGAAAGAAAGTAGAGCGCACAAAAAGGTAACAACACAGAACAAAAACACACAAAAAAGTGTGTTTTATGAATTATTTTCCATTCATTGCCCAAAGTGAACCTTTGAAAATAGAAATACACTCTATTTAGTTGGATCTTAAGGTCTGGTCTGGGTTAGATCGGCTTGTGGCTGAAGCGTGCAGGTGCTTTGAGTTGACATGTGTTGTGTACTTTGCGTCCAGATCAGATCGGCATGAATCCAGGCCTACAGGCCATCTGGGAGGATGAGAAGCAGAGGAGGAGAGAGCAGAACCAGACCTCCCAGATAGAAACTGCAGAATCACAAGGTGAGGAGCGCTCCGGTGCCTTTATTAGCATTTGTATCATTTCAGTCCCTATTTTGATCACAGTACCTCAACAAACCTTCACTTTGTGCCCTGTCTCCTTCTGGTTTTCAGTCTGGAGTGGCAGATATGTAATTTTTTTTGTTATTCAAGTTGTTTATTTTCCTTTAATAAATCAAACAACTACGGTACAAAGCTTGCGTGGTATAGTATACAGAAAGTAACAGCTTAAAACACATGGTCAGACAATTAACGTAAAGATAAGGATAAAAGCAAAATTAGACGGTGTTCGTGGATGATGTAGGAAAGAAAAACTTTTTTTTTTTTAAATAATTAAAAAATAAGTAAGTAAAGAAATAAAATAAAAAAGGTCGCTACCGAGAAGTCAGGTACACTTGAAAGAAATACCAATTATTTAACACCACCTGTCCTTATATGTTATTAGACTCACAGTTGAGGGCAGAATATGTTGTAAGGAAGTGTGAACTCCCCAATGGCTCCCTCTGTGGAACCCCTCATCAGAGAGGGTTTTTCTGTATTCTCAGAGCACCATCTCTCTGCGAGCTCTCTGTATGGCTGCTGACGCGGCTTTGTCTTCTAACTGGAGACGAGCGCTGCAGTTTGGCCAAGCCCAGTTTTCCCCCCGCCACACAAGGCGTTGTCATGGAAACGGGATGAACAGCTTTACAGGCTGACGAACGTACCTCCAAGCACAAATTGTTCCCAATAAGGGAGAAATAATGATCAGGTCGAGCACAGATTGCGGCCCCTACATAAATTCGGTTAGTTTTCAAATGGTCCTTTTGTTCCAGAACGGTTTGGAGGAGCTTTATGACATTTAAATCCTGTGATCAACAGCTCGTTACTGACACCAAACGCATAAGGTTCCTCGGAGCTTTCTAGACACGAAATGTTTGACTTGTTGCTGAGAAATGGATGTCTGAAAGAATTTGGTTTTATGAAGAGCAGCGGATGTTGGGTTGTAGTCATTTGTCTCATGTGTTCCAGATCGTGGTTCCGTCACTCTAACAGAGAGCGAGAAAGTCTTCACAAAGAGGCTGAAGGACATTCTGAAGGAAAACAAATTTGATGTGTAAGTTCATTTCTTTGGTTTATTCATCCTGGGTTATCATGAACGCAGATTCTTTGCGCCTTTGGAAATCGGAAGAGAAATAGAGAAATGTTCCGTGCATCCCTATTTGGGGAAATTCAAAATGTCAAGTAGTTTACAACAAATTCACTGTTAAAGCAGCACTAAGACCTGATCTCCTGAACCTGTCAGTAGTGTCACCTCAGCTAGCCCTTTGTCCGGCCAGGATGCTGTGGGGAGGTTACTTTTCTCCACCACAGAAAACTTACCTCCTCCTCAACCCTCTCCCTGATCCAGAACTAGCAGCTCAGAACAGAGCACTCCCAGTCAGAGTGTGCTAACACATGCACAGCATGTCTCTGCAGACTGCAAAGGA